GTGACAGCCACTGGCACCTCTTGTACATCTGTGCTCTTCCACTATCCACAGACTATCCACATCTGCAGTGAAACTTGTTTCTGCTCTTAACACATTCTCCCTGTGAAATCCAACCAAGAAGGGAAGGAAAAAAATGCCAAAGTAAGCCGAAGGGAAGGGCCCAATAAACCCGCCAAGGCCAAAAACCGGGAACAATTACCCTGGGCCTTCCCCGCAACAAAAAAGAACAATTTCCTTCAACAATAACAAAGTTAAGGAAAAAAACTGGCAAGAAAAAAACTTTTTTTTCCCTAAAGCCAAGATCTTCTGCCTCCTTGGTCCCCAAAGCATGTCACTGCAGATCCCTTTAGGACCACAAAAGACACAGTGCAAGCAGAAGTGAGAAAGGATTGATGGAAAGTTGCGCCTTCTGTCATTCAGGTTGCCCTGAAAATTTTGCTATTAGACACTATTTTAGGGATTCTAAAGTAAACCCACTCACCAAAACCATCTGGGTTTAAAACCAGAGTTCTTTAATCCAGAACCTTTTGGTTATCTAGTTTCTACCCTCGCCTGACAGGCTGCTGGCACAACAGTGGCACTAGGGAACAGCCATGGAGAGGCAGGTGCAGACACATCAGGGGAACTGTACATTTGGTCACATGTCAAAGCCTTGGTAGATGGCTCACAGGCTCAAGAAAATGTTGGTTTCCACTTACTCAGGGTGAACATTGCACTAACAGACCTGTGGCATGCTTGTCACAGGACAAGAATGATTCAGACTGACAGAGACTGTGGAATCAGTTCTCCCAAATTAAAAAACTCTTTCCCAGTTCAATCCAGAGTCAGCAAAAAGTGAGGGAAAAAATTTGAAAGGTTCAGTGCACGGAACCTCTTTGTCATATGTGACATGCTTGTCATGTATTCGAAGGTAAGAATGACAGGGTGGGTAGGAGATTCAAAGGCCATGGCTCTGCTACTGTTTTTATAGACAATCTGCAGCACAGCACTTTTTTTCTTTCCATACTCAAACCTACTTCAGTCATTGCCTTGGTGCTTGGATTTGTATGGTTTTTTTCTGAGTCATATATATTTTATTAAAAAAAAAAAGACAGAAGGGAGGAAAATAAGAACAGGTGTCATCTAAAAGTGGTGAAAGATTAAGCAAGAGGCAGCTCCAGAGAAAGCCAGACCCATGCACAGTCTCCAGCATATGGTAACTTTTCCAGAGGTGTTGCTACAAGCAAACAACTGCAAATGGAGTTTATCCACCACCAATTTCAGCAATATAACATTTACCCACTTCTTACAGATACCAAACAGGTGAGTAATTTACCACTGCACCACTGCACCTCTCTTCAGTCACCGGGTGGCCACTTAGATGAGTAGAAATTGCCCAGCTCTTATTTCGGGAAAGTCTTTTTCATTTCCTTCACATAGAGTTCTACCACATTAACTACATGGAGCTTAGATGACATGAGAGGTGGAACTCTTCCAAAATACATTTCAGTTCCTGTCAGAAAGTATTGCGTGCCTTTGTGCAGGAAATTATAAAATAGAAAATAAACATGTAAATATACCATTTCAACACATCCTCTACATCAAAGCAGACCTGATGGTTTTAATTTCAGCTTTTTGAGGTTTTGCTTTTATAAGTTGCTGAATTTATTTTGTAGCTCCTGTTTATGAAAAGAACTTTAAAAGAGTTATAAATTACATTTATCAAATGAAGAAAAACTACAGCTATAAAGTTCTCAGAAAAAAGGAAATAATGTGAACCATGTATGTGCACTTGTGCGAGGACACACACATACAAACTTATGTATTTTTAAGTTAGTGACTGCTGAACCACAGACCACATGCAGAAGAGTAAAAACCACCCATAACCAGATGTGCCACTGTAAAACCCATATTTTAGGATATATTCTATGAAATCCTCAGTATACAGGAAGATATAAGTTCCCACACTATTAATATCAGTGATATGGATTCCTAGAAAGACTGACTACCTTCACACACCTAAAAATAGTTCCAACTGGGAGGTACAGCCTTTGGGAAGTAGAGAGGAGCTTTCATGGTGTTAAAACACAGGATTTTGAAAACCATCCAGCTTAACACAGACGTGAGAACAGCACCAAGACGTCACTTCAAACAGAACCAAAGGGCTGCAGAAGGAATTCCACCCTTTCCCACGAGCGCTGCACCTCGGCTGAGCCCGTCAGAGCAGGGCTAGGGCCACGCAGAGGCAGGGCCATGGTAGGGCCATGCAGAGCCACTGTTTGTTCCACCATGAAACAGTGACCTCGGGACTTGCTTGAATTTTCCTGTGGCAGGAGAGTGTAGCAGTGGGCTAGTGAAGCAAAATGCTTCAGTTCTCTGCTCTATGCACGGCTGGATAGGAAACCCCAATTCAAAGGTTTCCTTCAAGCTATAAAAACAAAGCAAAGCTGTTTACAGGGAATGGAGAAATAGTCATTTCCAAAGTCCCTATCCAGCTGCAAATAGAGTATATAAGACCAAATAGCATTTTTACCTCGGAATATCTCTCACTGATCTAGTAGAGCAAAGTTTGTTGATATTCAGGGTTGCAAACCCATCTGTTTACTCAGGCTTTTGTCTGTCAGCATAGTTTGAAGAGGTCACTTTGAGAGATCAATTTTTTTCCTGGGGGTTTCTTCAGAGCTACCACAATTTGTTATTGCGTCTCTTTAGAGGCTTTAATTTGTGGTTTTCAAGATTGCATAACTGCACAGAGAGGTGGTGAGAGGCCCACATGAATAGTTCAAAATAAGTTTGACAATATAGTAAATATCTACTCAGTAATTTTCCCTGGACTGAGCACCGTGGAATGCCAAAGAAGTTATTAATCAGGCTAGTGGATGAACGTGGCTTTATGAGGGCTGGAGCATACATTTCCTTTCAGATGTTAAAATGCTGAATTACCTTGCTGCTGACTCCAACTAAAGATGATGCACCAGGGCACTACAAATCACCCATCTGATTAGATTGCTCTAAACAAGCCTATTCAGAAGCAGATAAAGAAAAAAATAAAATGGGATTTTAATTTTGCCTTTTATTTAGGGTTCTTGTAATAAGATACATAAAAATGAAGCAAGCTGCCTAGCCTCCCATGAGGAGGCTCAGCATTCATTTTTCCATTTTGCAGATGATAGAGAGGAGGTACAGACATGCACAGTCACTTTTGGAGTACAAACTGCGCCTGGGAGACTTGCAGGTCCTTGGGGCCTTTGGGAATCTGCAGCCAGGGACCTGGCATTGGCCACAGGCAGAAACAGGGCACTCAGGACCCAGAGGCACATTGCATTGCACATCCCAAAGTCAGTGTGACAGGCACCTAGGTGAGTGGCAGCTGCAGCGGTAGCTCAGGGTTGCATGAGCCACATTTGCATAGCAGAGGGCAGTGTTCAGCGTTTTGGACAAGTAATGTCCCTTTCTGAGGAAGCTGGTGGGGAAATGAACTGCATGCTGCAAGCTGGGAACCCTGCAACAATGGAATGGCAAAGTTCTGAGCAGAGACACCAAATTACATTTAAACTCTGTTCTTCTGGGACAGGTCTCCATCTAGTTCAGCAGGAAGGAATTTGCAGGCCATACATTCCTCCTGATGGGTGAAGACTGAAGGTGGCTAGTCAGTGTTCAGAACTGCATAGTGAGCGCTCTGCTACTGATAGAAAACCCACCCAACCCAAAACGACTCGCTGTCCACTCTGTGGGCAGCACACAGGTCTACTGGCCATGCCCGTGAGGTGACACTTCAGCCCTCAGTTTAAGGATTTTGCCAGACCTCGTCCCGTGAGAAGCTTGTGTTTGTATGTCACTTGGCAGGTGCAGAAAGTACTGCTGGCTCCTCCTGGGACGCCGTAAGGGAGTGTCTGCCCCGACTCGCTGCTCTGGGGGATGCAGCAGCACCTCTGTGCGCAGCGGGACATCGCAGGCGCGGCGCTCTCCTCCTGTCGCCTCCGCCGTCCCCTCTGCCCACCCATTGTTGCGCTTCCCGCAGCAGCGGCCCCGCAGCGGCCGCGATGCCGCCCCGCACTCGCGAGTGCCGTGAGGGGCAGGTGGCGGGGCCCGGGCAGGTGGCGGGGCCGGGGCAGGTGGCGGGGCCCGGGCAGGTGGCGGGGCCCGGGCAGGTGGCGGGGCCCGGGCAGGTGGCGGGGCCGGGGCAGGTGGCGGGGCCGGGGCAGGTGGCGGGGCCGGGGCCGGGCGCGGACGCCCCGGCCGGGGCTGAGGGGCCCCGCGCTCCCGCCGCCGCCGCGGCTTCTCGGCCAACAGCTCCCTCTGGCGGCCGCCCGCGCCCCTCCTCCGCCCGGGGCAGCGCCCACCGGCCCGCGCCCACCTGGTGCCCCCCGCGCCGGGGCCGCCGCCGCCGCCGGGCCCGGCCCGCCCAGCGCGGGCCCGGGGGACACGGGGGGCTGGGGCAGCGCTCGCCGCCCGTCCCGCCGCCGGAGGATGTGGCCGCGGGTTCGAGCCCCTGGTGCTCCCGCGGCGCCGGGGCGTGCGGTGGGGCGGAGGCTGCGCTCAGGGGGCGACCGGGCTGCCGGGGCGGGGAGCGGGGGAAGGCGCGGCGAGGGACGCGGCGATGGCGGCTGTCCCTGTCACCTGCAGGCGCTGCCGGGACGGCCCCGGCCCCCGCGCCCGCCCGGCAGCGCCCGCACAGCCCGTGGGGAGCCGGGCCGGGGGCGGGCTGTGCCTGTTGCATTGTCCCTGGCGGGGCTGGTGGTGAGCGCCCGCCGCTGCCGGAGGCCGGGGACCCCGGCGGTGCCCTGTGCCGGACTCTCCGCTCCGCCTGAGAGCGGCTGCACCCTGCTCCGTTGCACGTCCCTTGCGGCTCCCGCCGGGGCTCTCTCCCCTTTTGTCTGTGTATTTTTAGGTCATTAGAGTGGAGGGGTAGGTAATCCCCAGGCTCAAGTTCCAGAGGGGCGGGTTCTGGACGGAGGTGGAGTCACTTTTCATTTAAATCCCTGACTATAAAATGGGCTTAAAGAGAAGCGGGATCTCAGCTGTGCTGCACAGACCCCGGCACGCAGGGTGCGTGGGGGCCCCCCGGCAGCCAGCGCCCTGCAGCACAAGCCGCTGCGATGCTCCACTCCGTCGGCGTTCACACCTTGCAGCTGCTCACCCAGGCGGCCGCCTGCATCCTCCTATTTCCCCGCTTCCTGCTCACCGCCGTGATGCTCTGGCTCCTGGATTTTCTGTGCATTAGGAAGAAGATGCTGACGATGCCCACGGCGGAGGAGGCGGCCAGCGCCAGCGAGGAGCCGCCCCCCGACGACCCCCCGGTCTGCGTGTCCGACTCCAACCGCATGTTCACGCTGGAGTCGCTGAAAGCCGTGTGGCACGGGCAGAAGCTGGACTTCTTCAAGTCGGCGCACGTGGGTTCCTTGGCCCCTAACCCCGAGGTGATCCAGCTGGACGGGCAGAAGAGGCTCCGCATCCTGGACTTCGCCCGCGGCAAGAGGCCCCTCATCCTCAACTTCGGCAGCTGCACCTGACCCCCGTTCATGGCCCGCCTGAGGTCCTTCCAGCGCCTGGCCGCGCACTTCGTGGACATTGCCGACTTCCTGCTGGTGTACATTGAAGAAGCACACCCCTCCGACGGCTGGGTCAGCTCGGATGCAGCCTACAACATCCCCAAGCACCAGTGCCTCCAGGACAGGTTGCGGGCAGCTCAGCTGATGAGGGAAGGGGCGCCCGATTGCCCCCTGGCCGTGGACACCATGGACAATGCTTCCAGCGCCGCCTACGGTGCCTACTTCGAGAGGCTCTACATCATCCAGGAGGAGAAGGTGATGTACCAGGGAGGCAGAGGACCAGAGGGCTACAAGATCTCGGAGCTGAGGAGCTGGCTAGACCAGTACAAAACCCGGCTTCAGAGCCCCAGCACGGTGGTCATCCAAGTGTAAAAAGGACCTGGCAAGAAGCGCAGGGGTGGAGAGGCGAGGGAGGGCGGGAGGAGAGGTGGGGAGGGAGAAGGCACTGCGTCGCAGATGGCAGGAGCTGTCTTCCCGCGGGGACACTCGAAGGAGGCTGCTGTGCGAGCTTTCGAGCAAGACGTGCCATAGTCCTTTCTCTATTCAAATCATGTTGATTTGCCAGCCACGCTCTGTCAATACTGTATTTCCATGTGCGTTTTGTAAATAACTCTCTTTCTTTCCTTTTTTTTTTTTTTTTTTTTTTTTTTTTTTTTTTTTTTTTTTTTTTTTTTTTTTTTTTTTTTTTTTTTTTTTTTTTTTTTAAGGAGGCTCTCTTCCTACGGGATCTGTTCCCGGCTGCGTGTGTGCGCGGGTGTGTGTCTGAAAAGTTGTGTACAAGTGCTCCGTGCTGCCTAGCAAGTGCTAACTGGGATTTCTAGTATTTCTTTGTGATGACCGATTTTTAAATGGGTTTCTCTAATGCCAGGAAATCGCGTCTGATGTTGTCAAATACTAGAACTGCCAATAGCCAGAGCTGGACGGAATGTCCTATTTATGTGGGGGGGTTTTGTAAGACGTTCGTTCACCTTCCTTTTTTTTATGAATTTTTTTAAATAATAAAGGTTGAGTAACTACACGTCTAAGGTTGACTGCCTTTCTCTATCTTCAGACCGCTACGTTCACTTTCCCTTTTGCCTACCTCGCAGCACCCCCCCTGCAGCCGAGGAGGGGCAGGCGGAGCGGCAGGCGGGAGAGGATGCGCTGCCGGGGGCTCGGGGGCGGCGAGCTCTGCCTCGGTAGAGGCAAGAGCGCGCATCGCCCGCGACCCGGAGGGAGGGGAGAGTACTGGGTGTCCCCATGGGGAAATCCAAACCTCCGGGGCTCCTGAGGGTGGAGACCGGCCAGGAGGACCGCGTGCTCCGTCAGTGACCCCGGTGAGCCGGCCCTGGATTGAGCCCTGAGCCCTGGAGGGCGAAGGTGCAGGGCTGACCGGCGCCGTGCACCGAGTCCCGACCGACAACACAGGCTGGGGAAAGCCGTCCTGGGCGGGAGAGCTGCCCGGCCGAGGGAACCTCGTCTCGGGCACGCAGGCGGTGCCGCACCGGAGCCCGGACGGGGGCAGCGCGAACCGCACCTGCGGCGAAGCGCGGCTGAAGGGCTCGGGCAGGAGGGCAGCGCCCGGCCCGGCCGTGTGAGGCTCATCCCCACCCCCGGGGGCCGGCAGCTACGCTGGAAAGGGTGCGGGGTGCCGAACCTTGCTCCCTTGGACCCCGACAGGTGAGACAGGGCGTGGAGAGCATCCCGCAACCTCCGCAGGAGCCCTACAAAGCTGCCCAGAAACAGTGGGTCTTTAAGGACCACCCGTGGCGCCTCTGAACGCCTCCACGTCCTTGACAGCAGCGGGACGAGGTGCCCGAGCTGTTAAGCCCCTAAGTTTTGGAGGGGGGTGCACGGCCCGAAGACAGGGCAAGCCGCGGACGCCGCTCTCCGCAGCTGGGCACCGAGTCGCGCCCGCAGTGCTAAACTAAACGTGCGGGAAGCTGTTTGTAAGGGCGTTATAGCCCCTGTCTTGACAATGTTCCTCTGGACCCGCAGTGTTCCAGCCTTTCAACAATCACGGTTTAGAGTAGCACGCGTAACTGCCCCCGCCTCTCCCCGCAACAAAAGCTGCACCGTGTGGTCCCTCACAGAGAAATACGATGCTCCGACCCTGCTCGTCCGTCTCCTTCGCCCCCGCAGCCCCTTGGAAATCGGGCCGCTTTGCTGAGGTGCCAAAGGATCCGGCTCAGGTGCCCTCTTCGGGCTTCCCGACCCGCCTGGCCATTGCGCCTGCTCTGACGGCGTCGAAACCCATTCAGCCTTTCTTCACCTTTCCGCTGCCCCCAAGAGCGGACCGCCCGGCACCGGGCTCCAGGCACCGGTCCCGCCCGGCTCAGGTGCCTCCGGTTGTTGCTGGGGCGGCGGGGCGAGAGCCCACCCTGAAGTGGTTCTGCTTCCCCTGGCCGGGCGCTGGGCGCAAGCACAGAGCCCTCTGCGAAGTCCCGGAGCGGAGGGGAGCCTCGCTGGCAGAGACAGCAGGACAGGCTGCGGCAGGGCATCACCCCGCTCCCTCCGGCATCACCCGCTCCCTCCGGCATCACCCCGCTCCCTCCGGCATCACCCCTCTCCCTCCGGCATCACCCCGCTCCCCGCGGCACGGGCAGCGCCCGCCAGGCACGGCAAAGGTGTGGGTGCCGGAGCCGCGGCGAGCCCCCGTCAGTGCCTCCCGCCTGCATGGGCACATCAGCCACTCCACGAGGGACGAATGAGCGCTCCTCGCTGGTACGAGACTCCCGAGCAGCACCACCCTCGCCCTGCCCCGCCGTGGGACAGCGGAGCCCCCGCTCCGCCCTGCTGCCCCGGGCTCCAGCGCGGTGCCGGCCCTGGCCCTGCCCCGCAGCGCCTTTCCCAGCCCCGCGCACGTCGTGCCGTAAAAACCGAAGGCAGAGGAGCAGCGAGTCTCCCCTCTCGGCGACAAGGGCAGACTCCGTGCACGCGCGATTGCTTTTTTTTTTTTTTTTTAAACAGCTTAGTTTTCCTGACTTTACAATAAAGCCATTCTTTGCTTTCTCACCTCGTTATCTCTTTCCTTTATCCGTTTTTGGCAAGCTTTAGTTGTAATCCGAAGTTACGGCAAGACCCGGGTACATCCCCACCCCGGCCTGGCCCCCAGGACATTTTCCGGTCATACAGACAGAAATTGTCACTGTGGGCTTTAATAATAACAGAAACAGCCTCATCTTTACTCTCTACTACTAGCAGATCTTGGTCAAAGGCTATATGAGGTCAGAATTTTTTTTTCCCCTAAATAAGTCAGCTTTCTAAAGCTACAATCCTTTAAAGCGAACACAGAGATCTTATTTATCACTTTCTCTTTAATCAGCAACAGAAGAAAAATTTGCTATGAATTCCTGGAATCCCTGAAAGAGATCACACTTTTCCTTTGCACAAATCAAAGTTATCTGCTTCTATTGTATCCTCCACTTAAAATGAATCATAAGCCTCCATCCCACTGAGCTTTCTCGGGGATACTTGTTTAGCACAGACGAGAACAATACGCTGTACATCTAAAGAGCCCCGGGCGGCAGAAGCCTCTCCGACTGATACAAAGGATTGAGAAACGTCCTATCTTTAAAACGCATTTTTAGTGCCTTTCCACCTCCCTACTGCACGACAAACATAAGTCAGAGAGCGCAGAGAGATTTATCAGAGAGAGATCTGAGTGGCAATTACATGTTCTGTCAATAATTAATTGAATTATGTCCTCATCATAATTACATACAGTCCTCTAGCCAGGAGGAGAAAGGAAAGAAGGAAGTTGTGGTGTGGTCAGAGGGGGATCTCAGGACATGGTTCCAGTCATTAAAAATGTGATGTAACATTGCAATCTGGTGTACTCTGAGACACAAACGGGGAAACAAGCTACTAAAATCTTATTTGATTTACAGCAGGGAGTCAGAAAAAGCACTTGCCTTCATTAGTTGTTTTCATTACTGCTTTCTGCTGGGGGTTTGGATTTAAAGGTATTCTGCCATGCAAAGAACAAAGTCTTGCTCATTTGAACTATGACCTATATGTTGTAGTCTTTCTATTGTTCACCACATACTACCTGACTACAATGGATGTTTCTGATGTTTGAAATAAAAATTTAAATTGGTCCAGAAATTAAAATTAGTCCAGCAAACCATCCTACACTCAATACAAATGACATATTCAAATAGTCTTGCAAGCAAATTCTTACTCTGACACTTATTTTTCTGTACTTATTCCAGTCATAAGGGAGATAATCATATCATTATTAATTTATTATTTACTAAGAGCTGTTAGAGTACTCTTTTGGTACACAAATGCAGGAAAACAAAGAGCTTGATTCAGTTCTCACACAAGTTTTGCACTGGTGTATCTTCAATGACACGGGTGTAGTCACTTCAGAACCACCTGGGTGTAATTATGATCAAAATCTGGGCTATTGCACTTCCTTTGCTTTTCTAATGGTTCAAATCCTCTATTTTTCTACAGCATGCTGTGGAAGACAGACAGCTGTTTGCATATAGAGCTCAAAAATCATTCTCAAGTTCCTCCTCACTGTCAGTGCCAGGGTCCTATATCCTGCCACAATTTAAGCAAGTCAGCACATTTCCTCACCATTCTGCATCCTCCCTACAGCATGAGAGCTGTAAACCCCATCAATATGTGTTTCCTTCCACTTGTTAAGGCAGATCCTCTTGGTGTCTTGAGCTTTAGATCAGGTAGCTCTTCATTCTAATTGCTTTTAAGATCCAGCTGCCAAAAGGGAATTTGACACCTGCTTCCCTCTTTGCAAATTTCTCTTTTCAGACAAAAGTTTGATGATGAAACTTGAAAAGGAGTTCATTTGTGACCTCCACTTAATTTAATAACTCATGTATTTGGCCTTCCACCTGCTTCTTCAGAGATTTTGGCCTTCCACCTGCTTCTTCAGAGATTTTGGAAGTGGTTTACACTGGTAAATGCACAAACAGGTAATGGCCAAAACCATCTTCACAAGAGTTGCAAACAGTATTCCGTACTTCCTAGGTGAAAATGCAATACGGGACAAAATTCTTCAGCCAGTTTTAAAATTCTACAGCCAGTTTTTTTTGTTGTTGTGATTTTTGGTTTTGGTTTTGGTTTTTTTGCATGAGAATGCTTCTCAGAGCTTGTGCCCTCAAAAGTAAGGCTCCCTCAGCCTGATCTATGGAGTTCCTATGCCAATCAAACTTAGAAGATCAGGTCTGTATGTTGTTTCATCTCTTTGGCAAATTAATAATTCTGTCCTGACTTTGCTCATGGAAGCTTTTGCTTCTGTTTCCTTTCAAGTAATAAATATCCTCCATCTTAAAAGGACCTTTAGGACATGGCCATATGGGGTAAGGTAGCTCAACCCCCTACACAAACCCGCAGTGGCCAGAATTACCACAACACAAAGGTGA